AGGGAAAATAACATGCATTAGAGCTACAGGGAGTATGTTGCAGACAACACCTTCCACGCTTACCCTGCCCAGCATTTTGCTGTCCAATTAATCGCTTCATTCAAGAACTCCCAAGGCAGTGACTGCCCTGCAGTTGGGATGCTGTGGTTGAGACTAAGGCCTGACGTTGGGTGGGAGAAGTTCCCCCGGGACCAAACACAGGTCAACAACCAAAGAAGGACTAGAGGAGTGAATCGCATCAGTGCACAAAACCCTGATACTCTGGGATCGTTGCTGCTCAGCAACTCTGGGAGTAAATCATGCTTTCTTGACTTAATAATACATTGCTGTTTCTAAATAATATAAGTATATGTTGTGTGCGTCCATTTGTAAACTTTCGGAGTCTTCTGCAATCCAGGCACAGCGTGAAAACACACGCTATATTTGATTCTTGCATAAATAGCACAGATTTTAATTTTATCCCAGTTATGGATATCTGGCGCGAGCGCCGATACTCTGGGCAGACTGGTGTGAAATTTAATTTGAGCAGTTAAACACAAGGGTGAGAGAGTGCAAAGTAAACAAGCACATGCATTTCCAGCCCCACAGCATTTGGTACGTTAACAGGAAAAGCACCCAAATCCTCTCTCGCTTTTATTTTTTCCCTTCCAACAATCAGATTACAGATTGTCTGAAATGCACAAATCCTCCAGGTCTCCCGTGCGACCCCACCTCCCCCTGAGTGTCGCCTGCTGCCATTTCATTTGTGAGCTCTTCAGAGTTGGATTGGCGTTTTGGTGCATGAAAGCATACAGGTTCCTTTGTTTGCAGATTTGGTGTTAGATTAGAGATTCCTTTGGTTTTAGGACAAGGGAAGAGTCTCCTTGAGAACATCTTGGTAAAGGGAAACAGAATGGAACTGAAGGATTTCAATTAGGCAGACCTGAATTCACTTCTCCACATTGCCAAGTACAGTGTCTGAGACCTTGAAAGTTACTTAAAGACTCTGTTCCTCATTTTACTTATTTGTCAAAGTGAAAGTCACTCCAGCCTCATAAAGCAGTTGGTAGGGAGGAGTCAGCACACTGGTGACACACAGGTGCCAGGTTAATGTCACTTACATTTTCCCTAAAGTCACATGTTGATTTAAAAAAAAGGCAGCACTTCTGCTCTTCCCCCTGCCTTAATCACCTCCATTTAGGAATTACTGGGCTCCTTTCAGCCTGTCCCACTTCTATTTCTAAGTCATTCTGGGCATTAAGTATATAGCACTTTGGGTCTTAAAACACCAATTTGTACCAGAGGAATATGTCATCCTAGGGTCTGTGGGAAGGGTGCTGTGTATGTGTGTGCAGTTCAAGGACCCAGACCCATGAGAAGTAGGGAAATTGAATGGGTAAGTTTTCTCTTATATCCCATAGAAAGAACATCTGCTTACCATCAGTTAAAATTCCCATCTTTCCATTCAATTTGTTTCCACAGAAGAGCGAGTTGTCCCCATTGAAGTGTGCCGTTCCAAACTGTCAAAATACTTGCAGGGAGTAGTGTTCCGCTGTGATAAGTGTACCTTCACCTGCTCCAGTGACGAGAGCCTCCAGCAACACATAGAAAAGCACAATGAACTGAAACCTTACAAATGCCAGCTCTGCTACTACGAGACCAAGCACACAGAGGAACTGGACAGCCACCTTCGGGATGAGCATAAGGTACTTGCCCAGCACTTCCTGCCTCTATCCTTGCCCCTGTGTGGCAGGGTTGGGGAGGGGGAAAGGGTGGGATGGAGCTGAATTTAGCCACACCCACTGTGTTCAAGACAGACATGAGGGTGGGACAGAGCTGAATTTAGCCACACCCACTGTGTTCAAGACAGACATGAACTATCAGTAAGATCATTTTTAAAGTAAAGGTTGGTTAGTTTTCTATTATAAAAGAAAGGTAGGGGCCAGCAGGTGTCATGGTGGTTAAGGTGCTGGACTCCCATACGACTGGGTGTGGTTCAAGTCCCAAACCTGACAACTTGCTTCTCTCTCTCTCTCTCTCTCTCGCACAAGTGCCCTATAGCAAATTTTAAAAAAATAGTAATAGTAATAATAAATGAAAATTAAATAATTCTTTTTTTAAAAAAAAGGTAAAAATCACTTCAGAATGTTATAAAACATAGGTGGAAAGAAGGTAATCTCTCACAATTCCACAACCCAGACTTAACTGCTTAACATTTTTGGTTTCTTTTCTATGCGGTGTCCTCTTTTCTTTTGTTTTATATTACTGCAATTATACACAAAATATGGTATCTTGTTTTAAAAAAAGTTATCTTTTTGTTTTAAAAAGTTTTTTTAAAACAAGATACTAATAACAAAAGTATTTTTCTATAGTATTTTATTTGTATTATCCCAAAGACTGGCAAACTTTCTAACAAGGGCCAGATAATAAATATTTTAGGCTTTGAGGCCATCTGGTTTCAGTAGTAGTTAACTCTGCCATTGTAGCAAGAAAACAATCCTAGACAGTACATAAATGAATGGACATAGCTATGTTCCAATAAAACTCTATTTACAAAAACAAGCAGCAGTCTGTGGGTCCATAGTTGCTGGCCCCTATTCTATCTGATAGATTTCTGTGATGTTTGTCTCTTAGTCATGGTGGTTGTTTCCAGTAGATTGCTAACTATAAAGATTTTTGTATGCATCACAATGTAGGTCTAAATATTATAAAGATTGTAAAAAATGTTTTATTTAGGGAGGAAAATTAATAAAAGGTTAGGACAGAACATAAAATAGAGGGTTTGTAGAAAAAAAAAATTGTTTTCCAAGGGTTTGCTGATAGCTTCTTCACTCCGCACAGGACTTCTTTGGCACATCATATACTGAGACAATTATTTCTGGTTTCAGAAGTAATTTCTGAGTATAGCAGGAACTATGATTAGTATTTGTTTAATGAAACCAAGACCAGAATATCTATTGTGTGTTTACTTAAGACACAATGAAAGGCACTTTTGATATTATTTCCTTTTTCCTTGCTCTGTATCCTCATCAGTGGAAATAACGACTCTTTTTTTTTTTCCTAGCCTTATGAACCCAATTTACAAAGATTTTTGGCCTGATTACATGTGTCTAAGGGTTAGAGGTGTTTTTGGTGGTAGTTGAAAGAGAAGGCTGAGGGACCAGCAGTTAGCATGATCACTATGTCACTGGACTCCCATGTAGTTGACCGCAGTTCGAGTCCTGGACCTGGTGGCTTAAACTCATGCTGGCGTGTGCGTGTGTGTCCAAGATCCTGAGAGGAGAACGGAAGAGAAGGGATTGCGGCGTGACCATCCCCCTTGGGGGGTGATTTCTCGCTTTCTGTCTCTCTCTCTCTCTTTCTGGCGAGCACAGACGCCCTATAACAAAAAACCTCTCCCAAAAAGAAAAGAAAAGGCTGAGTGAACTGTATCTCACCTGTCCACAGTTTAATGGTTTTATAGTAACCTTCCTGCTTCGGAATGCATTCATTTTCCAATGTGCTTACCCACAAAGTGAAAGCAGAAAGGAAAAGCCTGAAATACCTCACTTAAAAACTTTAATATCCTTTCTTATTCAAACTTCCTAGGCATTTGTTCCTGAAACTCAAAGGAAAATCACTCATCTATTTCAAACCAAGTTTTCTATATTTACTCACATGTATCTATTTATGCAGCCACCTCGACTGCATTCCATATAGGATTCAGACCTTCAGGCTGATGATTTGGAACAGAGCAAACAAATCAGGAGGATAAATTCTTGCCAAGTTGTTGCACAGTAGCTTGTATACCAGTAGGGAATCCAGTGAAGGGTTGTAAGCATAGCAGACATGGAGCCACACAGCTTCCTGAGCAGTGAGAGGAAGGCTGAGGCTTCGGGATATGGGTCAGAGATATGGGTGGGTCAGGTAGGTAAGGGCCCAGTGTCGAGCTTTTGGAGCCAAGAAGACCTGGTTTTCATCTACTCTCCACAAGGAACATACTTTAGCAAATTTACTTAAATTTCTAGGTCTGTTTTCTGATTTATAAATGAGAGTCGTTTTACTTTCTCAGAAGTTTTCTAAGAGTCAATGAAGTCCTTGAATTTCCCCTATTTTGAGACCCAAGATGTTTCTCAGACTATGTGTCGATTGACTCGTGCTTAAATAGAAAAATAATTGTACATATCGTAAAGATAGTTATGTTTTCAAAGACATCTAGTATATTATAAAATCACCAATAGTATCTTCCATGTAAGACATCGTCTTTGATGTTATGTTTTCACTGTGCCATATTATTATGTTCTTGAACTTTTATTTCCCATGGTTGACCGCTTAGTAAGGCCCATGAGCACCTAACTGAGGCTGAAGAATTGCTGCTTTCGGTACACCTAATGATTTTAACTTTTTCTTAAAGAATTATTTAATTGTATATTATTATTATTAATTTGCTACAGGGCATATGTGCTCAGGAAAGAGAGAAAGTAAGAAAATAAGCTGCCAGGTCCAGGTCTTGAACTACAGTGGGCCATGTGGGAATTCAGTGCCTTAACTACCACACCACCTGCTGGCCCACGCCTCATGATTTTCATCTTCATCTGAATTGTTATTAATGTTTATGTGACTTGTGCTTATTACTGATAGCATTTCCTACTCTATTTTCTGCTCCCTTTCTCCCCCTAAATTATAAGTGTAAAATGCAGTTAGAATTATTAAAATAACGGGCCAAACACTATTTTGCAAATAAAGATGACAATGCTATTGAAACTGAAGTTTAGACTGGTAGGCACTGGCATTATGTACTAGCTAAAGTGATTATTCATCAGGGTGAAAGATATACAAAAGTCTGATTTTAGCATTCATGAGAGAGGTGTGGGGGGGTTGGTGTACTTAAGAGAAGTTTGCTGACAATTCATATACAAAAGTCAAGGACAGTTAAGATGAAAGAAATTAAAGTCATGAAAATTGGACAGAAAGAAATATAACCATATTCATAGACAATGTGGTCTTTGTAGGTAGAAAGTCCTGTAGAATCTATAAAAAAGCTTACAGTATTACAGAGTTTACCAAAATTACAAGCTGTAAAATGAAAATATATGGAAATATTTTATATGAAAACCAGTTATATATCTTTAGACTATAATATTAATAAACCATCTATAAATAAAATTTTAAATGGTCAATTTCATATTCAGTAGCATCAAAAAGAACAAATGATTAAGAGTAAATTTAACATTAGAACCATGAGAATTGTACACTGAAAATGACAAAGTATTGCTGAGAGAAATAAGAGGACTAAGTTAATGCAATATATACCAAATCTATGGACTAGAAGACTCAATATTGGTGATTCTTCCCAAATTGATCTACAGATTCAACATAATCTCTATTGAAATCTCAGTTTACTCTTTTGTAAGGGGGGAAGGGTAGAAATTGTCAAGCTGATCTGAAAATTTTTAAGGAAATGCATATAGCCTACGATAGTCTAAGCAGTATGGAAAAAAGGGCAAAGTTGGAAGCCTTACTCTTTGTGGTTTTAAAACTTCCTGTTAACTTCTGTAAACTTGGGTAGTTTAGAACATGTGATATTGGCTTAAGGATAGATACATAGCTCAATGGTTCAGAAGAAAAAGTCTAGAAACAGACCTCCATATATGTGCCAAACTGGTTTTTATTAAAGGTATCAAGGTAATTGAGAAAGTATGGTTTTTCAAAATTGAAGCTGGAGCTATTGGATTTACAGATGCAAATTTGACCCTGGTCCCCCATATTACTCTATACACAAAAATGCAAATAGATGATAAACGTAAATGTGTGCACTAAAACTTCTAGAAGAATAGTAGGAAATGGTGTGACATTACATTAGAGAAATGATTCCCATATATGACACAAAGGCTATGGACTTTAAGAGAAAAACTTTAATAAATTACATGTCATCAAAATTAAGTTTTCTTCAGAAAACATCATTAAGGAAATGAAAAGGCAAGTCACAGTTTGGAAGCAAATATTTGCAAAGTAATTATCTAACAGCAGACTATTGTTGTTAAGAGAGACTTTTGCTATAATGCGTGTGTGCTCACTGGAGAGACAGAAAGCGAGAAATCATCCCTTGGGGTGATGGCCAGGCCGCAATCCCTTCTCCTCCATTCTCCTCTTGGGATTCTGGGCATGCACACACACTTGCACAGCATGACTTTCAAGCCACCAAGTCCGTGATTCAAACCACAGTCAGTCATGTGGGAGTCCAGCAACAACTATTATGCCATCAGATGGTCCCTAACAGAAGACTTTAACCAAAAAATATAAAGAACTCAATAAGAAGACAAGCAGTTCAATTAAAAATGTCCTAAAGTTTTGAGTAGACAGTTTTAAGAGGATATACAAATGATATGAAGAGGTGCTCAACACAAGTGACAAGAGAAGCACAAATTTTGATAGTACTAAAGTGTTGGCAAGGATATGTAAAAACTGGAAACATTACTGGTTGGAATGTAAAATGGCATACCCACTTGTAGCAGTTTGGTAGTTTGCTTAAAAGTTAAATGTACATTGGGACCAGCAGTTAGCGTAATGGCTATGTCAGTGGACTCCCACGTAGTCGACCGCGGCTCGTGTCCCAGACCTGGTGGCTTAAAACTCACGCGGGTCACGTGTGCGTGCGTGCCCAAGATCCCGAGAGGAGAATGGAGGAGAAGGGATTGCGGCGTGGTCATCCCCCCTGGGGGATGAT